TGGGTGATATGGTAGCTGTATTTTTTTCTTGGAACTTTCATATTATTTTCAACAGTGACTGCACAAATCTACATCCCCTCCAAACATGTACAAGGGTTCCCTTCTCTCCACATGCTTATCTTATGTCAATACTTATCTATTGTCTTTTTAATAAAAGCCATCCTAACAGGTGTGAGGTGAGATGTCATTGCATTTTTGATGTGCATTTCCCTGATAATGAGTGCTGCTGAGCACATTTCCATATAGCCACTGGATATTTGTACATCTTCTTTAGAGAAATGCCCATTCCAGTCCTTCTCCCATATTTTAACAGGATTATTTGTGTTTATGCTTCTGAGTTGTTTGAGCTCCTTGTATTTTTTAGATATTAACCCCTCATCTGATATATGGTTTTCAAATAATTCCTCCTAATTCACTGGCTGCCTTTTCATTTTGTTGATTGTTTCCTTTGCTGTGTAGAAGCTTTTCAGTTTGACACAACTTCACTTGTCTATTCTTGCTTTTATTGCCCATGCTTTGGGTGAGATACCAAAAAAAAAAAAAAAAAATCCTTGCCAAGAACAATAGCAAGGGGCTTCCCCCTGTTTTCTTCTAGGAGTTTTATGGCCTTATGTTTTTATTTTTGTGTACAGTGTTAGATAAGAGATTTTCATTCTTTTGCATGCGGATATCCATTTTTTCCAACACCATTTGTTGAAGAGATTATCCTTCCCCATTGTGTCTTCTTGGCAGCCTTGTTGAAAATCAGGTAACTGTATATGCATGAGCTTATTTTGGGGCTCTCTATTCTGTTCCATTGGTCTGTGTGCCATTTTTATGCCAGTACCATACTGTTTATTTATTATTGCTTTACAATATAATTTGAAATTGGGAAGTGTGATGCCGTCAACTTTGTTTTACTTTCTCAGCATTTTTTGGCAAGTCAGGGTCTTTTTTGTTTCCATACAAATTTTAGAATTGTTTTTTCTATTTCAGTGAAATTGCTGTTGGGATAGCATTTAATCTGTATATTGCCTTGGGTAGTGTGGACATTTTAACAACAGTGATTCTTTTAATACACAAACATAGATATCTTGAAGCTGATGGAGCTTCAGTTTCATAATCCCTCACTTCCACAAAAGAGCTCCTTCCAAAGCCCAAAGAAGAGTCCTAGCAATTTTGTGTTCATAATTTTGCATGCTTTCCCTTTGGAAGGTTCCCAACACTCGGAGTATAACTTGAGCAGAATATGTTTTCCTTTACTTCTCTGACCTAGAGCTGAGTGCTTCTGGTCCTGGAACATGTGCGAATTTATCACATGCTGGAAAACTATGATGCATCATCTCTACTACAGCTAGACCTCCTATTTGCATGGGGGTTTTTAGTTTCAGAGCTCTTTCAATAGTATTGCCTCATTTAATCCTCCTACCAATTCTTCACAGTAGGTTTAACAGGCATAAGAATCACAGAAGAACATTAGGAGAAGCCACATGGTTTTATATTTAAATGTTGGGGCTTGGAATAATTCAAACTATAGGCACCTCATCTTGCTGGACCTCCCTCCCATTTCTGAGCCTTACTATTTTCATAAATAAAATGGAGATACTAATAGCACCTTCCCCAGGATCTGTGTAGATTAACTGAGATATGGCACAGAAAGGTAAAGACAATTTCCAGGCCACCCAGCTATCGAATGGCTCATGCCCTTTTCACACCACACACACACTCTTATGTCCTGCCCACTTCTTTCAGTGAAGAGAAGGTGAAGATATGGGAGGAGTAAGTGACTTGCTTTGGGTCACAGCACAAGCACATAGCACAATACCCTAATATCACACGCACAAAAAGGAGTGCTAGTGGTGCGTGCACTTACCAGCTTCCTTACCTATAAAACAGGGTCAGCAAAAATGCTCACTTCCAAGTTTTGAAATGAGTGACTGTGCATAGGACAATCACAGTATTGCCCGGCACAGAGAAACTCCCAGCTAGTGTAAGCCAGCATTATCATTAGTCGGAGTTCACCTGCACTAGGGGCCCACTGTCTGCTGGCTCTCTGTGACAACCTTAACCTTCTGGGCGTGACAAAGACCTGAGGTCTGTCCACAGGAGGCTTTGTCTGACCATCTTTTTTGTGGTGTTTTTGCTTTTTCATGGCATTCACTTCATGAGCTTCCAGAATCTTGTGGGAGGGGAAAGCATAAATATATAATTACTGAAGAAAGGGAGGGAGCAATGACTCTTAAAAAAAATTGTCACAAAAATGGCCAGCAGTGCTGAAGTAGTGTCTGTGGTCATTACTAGGGGACTCAGCAGCCATTGGCCACAATCCTGTACCCTTGTATGGGGCCCAGCCTCACCTCTGATCTTGTCCTTGCTGGTATTAGTGAGCCCTGGGTGTGGGGTCTGCTAAAGTTCACTGCAGCCCTGGGCTCAGGCCTCAGCCTCTGGTTATTAGGGCCTTGGGCTCAGGCCCACCCAGGCTGCCTCACCTCCCCCTGGGCCACCTCCTGGCCCAAACCTGGGGTCCTTAGCAGGGGGTAAATGGTGGCCAGATGGAACACAGGCCACTAGGCTGGGAATGTTTGTCCACATTGTTTCGGGGGTGTCTGCTGTACTCCTTCCTGGGGCATCAGACATCACAGAGATTCCCTGGCTCCCCTCTTAAAAGGTAGCCATGAATCTCTTGCCTTCCATTAAATATACTCGTAAATATAAATTGAATGAATCAGTCTTAATTTAAATGAATGTGTTAATACTGCTCATTTTATATAGCCAGTGTTAATATAGGTAATTAAATATTGCTAGTTTTATTATTTAGGAGGATGATTGTGCCTTTTTCTCTTATTTATTGTATGTTTAAAATTTTTTGCTTCAAATAAATGCAACCCCACTTAAATGTTGGTAGATCATTAGTCACAGCCCTATAAAGAATTCCTACATATTTCTCTAAATGTGGGTAGTAAAGTGCACCCCCCTCATCTTACTGAAGGTCTTCTCCAGACATTCTGCAGGTGCTGGAGACATAAATATGAACAGGCCCCATTCAGCCCTTTAGGCCGGGCTATCTAGTAGGGGGTCCCTATTTCCTATTTCCCTCCTGCTGGACCTGAAATCTCTGGAATGGGAGGAATTGTGCATAATTAGAGAGCAAAGGCCTCTAATCTCACAATCTCGGCTCAATGCAACCTCCATCTCCTCCGGGTTCAAGCTATTCTCCTGCCTCAATCACCTTAGTAGGTGGGACTACAGGCGCAAGCCATCATGCCCAGCTAATTTTTGTATTTTTAGTAGAGATGGGGTTTTACCATATTGGCCAGGCTGGTCTCAAACTCCTGACCTTGTGATCCGCCTGCCTCGGCCTTCCAAAATGCTGGGATTACAGGCATGAGCCACCAAGCCCAACCCCTTCTTTGCTCTCAAGAGAGAACTACATAGGAGAGATGACTCTTTCTTTCTGAAAAGCTCCCCAAACTGAGTCTGACAAAAACAATCTAACACATTAGAAGAGGTTGAGTGTGTGCAAAATCGTGAGGGAATAAGTCCTGTTCCTAGAGCAGTTTTTAAAATAGGGTGAAGGTACCTGGAGAATAGGAAAGGGAAGCAAGGATAAGGCAACCAGAACCCAGGAGTACTTCATCCCCGAGGAATGAGCTTGTAAGGAAAGCCACAAAACAAAAAGTCAAGACTACAATGCCACTTGGACAGGGTCACCACTTTTCCCAGAATTACTGTCTTTGGAAGACTAGGTTGATAGTGAAACACATAGGCCCAGAATTTTGACCTACATTCCACACTCTGGAGGTTCTATTACAACAATTCCAGCTGTTTAGATTTGTTTCCTCTTTTCTCTTTCCCATCTGCCAGACGGGGCAGCTTTCTAGCTTCTATGTTATGATTCTCTGGCGTGTTTGGGCAAGTACTGTGTTGTCTGGTTTTAAAAATAGAAAAAGAGTTCAGTGACTGACTTAGAAACACATATATTAGTCTCAATGGATCTGAAACTATGGCAGTCTCCATACTGTCATTTAAATATTCTTTTCAAAAGTGAATCCTTAAAAAACTCATCATTCTGCAGAAAAGGCTTTTGCCCTGTTTTGGGAATTCATAATCACCACTTCTCCCAGAATCCAATAATTAGCCTTATGTCTGCTCTCTCTAGTCTCTCTACATCTTATTTAGTGTTGTCTGAAATATAAGAATCTGAAACCCAAGTTGCAATCATCTTGTCCCCAGCAACTATTTTACTTCCAAGTTCCTCATCAGATCAGGACCACTGTCCCATTTCATGGTGTGGTTAGGATGTCTAGCCAGCAGCTTTTAACCAGCAAGTTCTTTCAAAGCAAGTCACAATTTGTTCCATTGCTAAACATTCAGAAGTCCAGATACTCTTCTATTCTTATCAGCAGAACCATGGTATAAGCATTCCTCCAAGTAAATTCTAACATCTTTATCTTTGAGGTTCTCCCCACATGATTTCCCTGGAAGGTTGGGATGAGATCCTCTGAATCTTGGCCTGATGATCAGTCCTTAGGGATCTGCATGGCTGTGTATTTATTCCAGCATTCACTGAACAAGGTCAGATACACATTATCTCTCCTCCTTATTGTAAAAAAAGAATGCATAGAATCAAATTTAACTATCCCTTGGTAAACACCTGCCATCTGTCAAGCATCCTATATTTTAACACACATTGTCTCACTCCTCTGTGTACAGGCAAACTTAGCTTCTTTTCTAGGTAAAAATCCTGAGTACAGACTTGCCAGCTCCCTGTCTTCTTACTCCTTGCATTTCTCTAGACCCTTCTGAAAGTTATCCAATCCTCTCCTCAGTCTATCTGTCAGAGGTAGCAGCCTTCTAGTTCCTACATTATGATTCTGTGATATATTTAGGCAAGGACTATGTTGTCTAGTTTTAAAGATGGTAAAAACAAAGAGTTCAATGACTTATCCAGAAACACACGTATTAGTCATCCATAGATATGGAGCCATCCACTGTCTTGGCTCACATTTAAGTATTCTTACCAGAAACGAATCCTTACAAATGTCATCATTCTTCAGAAAGGAGGGCTGCAGGAACTTGGAGTCCTGCGTTTAATAACATACTGGTGATCGCTCTTGGCAAATACTGAAAGCCTCACTTGATCCCTGACACCTGAAGGATGAAGAGCTTGATGATCTGATGCAAGGTAAGGAAAGTGGAGGTGGATAGCCAGTATTAACAGTTTTCCAAAAGACTTGTTGTATTAGGAGCCCCTTGGGAAATCTTGCTGTTCAGAAGATGAGGTCACAATTGTAGAATCTTAGACCCCTGGAGGAGTAAGTGACCTCACAGATCACCACATCCAGCTTGAGTCCACCAGACAACAATTTTGCTCCTCAGTAAGGTCTTCTGGAAAGCAGAGCCAGAGGCAGGGATTAAAGCACTAACCCTTAACTTGGGAGGTAAAAATCCAGAGGTGGGTACAAGGAAACAAGACAAGGGAATGAGAGGAGCCACGTTATTGGGTGTGCTGGCTGCTGCTTCACCACAGCCACAAAGAAACTTAGCAGTAGCTTGGCAGGTGTGTCCATGGGGCACAGAGTATTTCTCTGAGAGGCTGTTGAAATTAACCACTTCTTTGGGGGTATTTCACAAATGAAAGAAAGAAAGCAAGTTTGTCTCCCAAACTGTCTTCCTTTTCCCAGTTTTAACTAGTTAAGATTCACCACGAGGCAAGATATTTCCCTCACACTTCCCAGTAGTAACACTGGCTCTTCAGTGAAAGTCCAAGGGACATGAGATTACATTGATTTGGATCTAAAAGAGGAGTGGTGGTTTGACACACATGGGCTTAGCCTTTGGGTACATGAGCCTTGGAGCCCAGGGTGCAACTCAGGCACCAATCTGCTCAGGGATCATGGCAGAAATGACTACAGGAAGTGAGAAGTGTTTTGGGACAGAAGGAAGCAGTTAAGGGACTTTGAGAAAGTGCACAAGATTTAGGTCCAAAACATCTACCAAGTGATCATTCAGCAACTAATGTGCATCTCCAATATAGAGGAACTCATTGCTTCATTAAGAAACTTCTTTTCTTCTTATCAAGTGAAAATCTATTATCCCTTAGATATTTAGCTTCTTACTCTAGTTATGTCCTCCAGGAACCATGTAGAACAATTTTAATCCATCATCCTCATGATAGTTCTTTTGTCTGTTTGGGACTTCAGGTGTAGAGTTTTGAGTTCTCATGGTATCGCTGGCCTTCACAGGATCCCATTCCATGCTTCCATTCCTCCCTCCTCCATATGCCACAATTATAAGGTGCTTTATATGTATGTGATTACTTGTATATCTTCTCATAAAAAACTATGTTGTTTTGTGTGCATACACTTTTAATTTACATGAAGGAATTGTGCTCATGGTATTTTTTTACTTTTTCACTCTGTTATGTTTTGAATATTTGGCCATGTTACTATACTATTCATCCAGGAATGAACACTTACTTTGCCTCTTACGCATATGCAAATAACAGGTTGTAATGCATGTTATTTTACTGCGTTAGAATTTTTCTAGAATAAATACCCAGAAGTGGCATATATTCTAAAAATATATTTCTAGTGGAGTTGCTGGGTCATTGGTTATAAATATACTTAGATTGACTAAGTACTTCCAGATTAATCTTCAAAGTGGCTGCCCTGTTCATATTTCCACCAATAACACATGAGATTCCTATAGTCCTGCATCTTCAGCAATTTTCTCACTTTTTCAATTGATATTTCTCATTTAAGTGCAAAGTAACGTCTTGTTATCATTTTTGTGTATGGTTTTCTAATCACTAATAATTTTGAATATCTTTTTGTATGTTTGTCAGCCCTTTGGACCTTTCTTCCATGAATTACTTCTTATGTATTTTTCGGTTGGGTCATCTTTTATTTATTCTTGATAGATTCCTAGTTCCCAGAGATATTAGCCTCTTCTTTTAGTGTATTCATTGCAAATATCCTCTCTTATGTTTTTATACCTGCTTGTCTTGTCCATGGTGTCCTTTAATGGACAAAATTTTTAATTTTAATGTGGTCCTTGTGCCTTATGGTTTTCTGCTTTTAAGGTTATGTTATGTTTTGCTTTTTTTCACATTCAGTGGGTAATGTGCCAATGCTATAATAAGGCTTGAAGGAGGCACATCTCACACATTAGTGTGAAAAACCAATATGCCTATGAGCCACAAAAGAATCTAAGGTTACGTTTAAGAATCCCTTCCCCCTCTGAAAGTCAGTACTACATTCTTCCACATTATTTGATTATTTTACAGTTAATATCTCCATTTCTTGGGTCTTTTGCCCATCTACAATACCTCTTTCCAAACGATATTGGGTAAGAATCTGGTTGTATTTTCCTCCACAAAGAAAGCCACTTAGGGATGTGTTAGAGCAGCTTGTTCCTGGTGGCAAGAGCCAACTGTTAAATATTGAGGAATTTTGCAAGCTGTTTGCTAAATTGTTGGCAGTTTGTAATAGGCTGTGTTAGGAGTTTTTATACCATAGGAATTAGCAAATGCTATAAATCAAGTATTTTTTCCTTTGGGGAACTGGTTTACCAGTACACTACTGAAATGTCTATTGAATCATCTTTGTCTTCATTGATCTATACTGCTACTTTTATCATATATTAAGTTCCCATATACAAGGGATCTTGTCTGAGACCTTTTATGCCACTTCATTGGCCTGTTTGTTTTTTCTTGTCTGGTGCCGTACTGCTTTTATTACTGTGTGTCTTTGAAGCTCATTTTAATGGCTCATAGAGCAAGATCCTACTCTGTGCTCCTCTTTTTTAAAGTTGACTTAACCCTTCTTAGACTATTACATAGTAGAATAGTATATCCTAAACTGTTTTAGAATAAGTTTAACAAGTGCCTTAAAAATATATCTCGCATTTGATTGATGTTTTGAAGTTATGGAACAATGTTGGGAGAATTGATGTTTCTTTTTTTTTTTGAGACGGAGTTTCGCTCTTGTTACCCAGGCTGGAGTGCAATGGCGCGATCTCGGCTCACCACAACCTCCACCTCCTGGGTTCAAGCAATTCTCCTGCCTCAGCCTCCCGAGTAGCTGGGATTACAGGCACGTGCCATCATGCCCAGCTAATTTTTTGTATTTTTAGTAGAGATGGGGTTTCACCATGTTGACCAGGATGGTCTCGATCTGTTGACCTTGTGATCCACCCGCCTCGGCCTCCCAAAGTTCTGGGATTACAGGCATGAGCCACTGCACCCAGTCTGGCATTTTATTTTTTAAAAATATTTTTCAGTTGATTGTTGTTCAGCTTGAAACATGCTATTAATTTTTCAAAATTTGATCTTACCACACTCTTATTATTTCTGTTGAGTTTTGTTGAATTTTCTGTGATCAAAGTGTTTTAAAATACGATAGGTTTATCTCTTCCTTTTCTATCTTCACACTGCATTTTTCTTTCTGGATAATGATGGACAGCATTTACACCATCACGTTATGAGCTGTAGCAGCGCTCATAAGCATTCAACAGAGCTTGGCCCAGAAGTGACCTGATATTAGAACTATTGTAACAATGTTAAACATACTAATAAGTAAATATTTAAGTACATATATTAAATATTCTAAAGACTATAGTACAACAAGTAGACAATAATGCATGAACAGATGGTGGATGTTAGCAGAGAGATGTAAACTATAACAAAAGTCAAATGAAAATGTTAGAAATAAAAAACATAGTATCAGAGATGAACAACTCTTTCAATGGGTTTATCAGCAAACTGGGCATATCAAAACAAAACATCAATGAACCTAAAAATAGGTAAATACAAATTAAACAAAGTGAAACACAAAGAGGAAAAAATACAGCAAAAGATATAAGGCTATGGGACAACATAAAATACATACCATTAGAGAAGGTGAAGAGGAAGATGGGCAGAAGAAATACTTAAAGAGACTGGCTGAGAATGATTTTTTAATTAATGACAGTCAACTAATTACAGACTGAAGAAGCTCAGGAAACCTGAAGCAACATTATATGTATATCTGTTTACATGATAACCAAACATCAGGAAGCCAAAAATGAAAGAGAAAATCTTGAAAATAGCCAGAAAATTAAGAAATGAACAACTTACACACAGAGAAAATATATATAAGAATTATAGACAACTTCTTATCAGAAGTTACCTAAGCCTAAAGAAAATGGAGAGACATCTTCAAAGTACTGAAATAAACATCAGTCAACCAAGAATTCTTTATCCAATGCAAATGTCTTACAAGAATGCAGGCAGAATGAAGAGTTTTAGACAAACAAAACCTGAGAGAATTTACTGCCAAAAATTTGAGGAAAGTTTTTTTTAGAAAGAAAGAATAAGATAGCAGATGGAGGCTGGGTACAGTGGCTCATGCCTGTAATCCCAGCACTTTCTGAGGCTGAGGTGGGTGAATCATTTGAGGTCAGGAGTTCAAGACCAGCCTGGCCAACATGGGGAAATTATGTCTCTACTAAATATATAAAAATTAGCCAGGAGTGCTGGGGCACACCTATAGTCCCAGATACTGGGGAGGATGAGGCAGGGGAATAACTTGAACCCAGGAGGCAGAGGTTTCAGTGAACTGAGATTATGATGGTGCACCCCAGCCTGAGTGAAAGAGGAAGGCTTTGTTTATATATATATATGATGGAAATTTAGACGTATACAAAGAAAAGTTGTGATAGAAAAAATAAATACAGTTAAATAAAGTAGACACTTTTCATCTTAAAAAGAGAGCAGAATATCAAAGCAAACACACTAGCAGTGTGGTGTGGCACTTACACATGGAAAGAATAGAAATGACAGTATTAGCATGAAGTAATACAATATTATTTGCATGTATATGTGTGTGTGTCACATACATATACATCACACACACACACACTTGCTGTAACAGACAATTTAAATAAGATTGAGAATTTTATAACAGAATATCCAAAATGTCCAGGATACAAATGAAAATCACTCATCATATAATGAACCAGGAAAATATCAACTTGAATGAAAAAAAAACAACTAAAATATACCAATATAGTTATTCAAATAAGTAATGACTAAAAATTTTCCAAATACAGCAAAAGACATAAACCTAAGGATTCAAGAAGCTGAGTGAATCACAAACAATAAAAACCCAAAGCCATAGTTGCCAAGACACAATATAATAAAATTTCTAAAAACCAAATTCAAACAAGAAATCTTTAAAGCAGCAAGAGAGAAAAAAAACCCCATAATTTAAATGACATAGATTTCTCATCAGGAATAATGGAAGCCAGAAGGATGTGGCACAAACTTTTCCAGTGATAAAAGAAAAGGACATAAAGTCCTACATTCAGCCAAAATAGGCTTTAGAAATGGACTCGCTAAAAAAAATTAACTCACTCTCTGCTGGCGCTGTGGCTCATGCCTGTAATCCTAGAACTCTGGGAGGCTGAGACAGGTGAGTCACCTGAGGTCTGAAGTTTGAGACCAGCCTGGCCAAACTGATAAAACCCTGTCTCTACTGAAAATACAAAAATTAGTGGGGCAGGTGGTGGGCACCTGTAATCCGTAATCCCAGTTACCCAGGAGACTGAGGCAGAAAAGTCACTTAAACTTGGGAGGTGGAGTTTGCAGTGAGCCAAGATCCCACCATTGGGCAACAAGAGTGAAATTCCGTCTCAAAAAAAAAAAAAAAAACCTCACTCTCAGATATAGAAAAACAAAGAGAATTTGTCACCAGCAGACCTATACTAAAAGAATGGCTAATGGAAGTTCTTGAAACTGAAAAGGAAATCAAAAGCAGAATCTTGGTAACAATAGGAAGCATAAAAAAACATGGAAAAAGGCAAAAAAATACTTGTGAATGAATTTTTTCTTTTTTAAGTTTTCTAAATTATGCTTGACTTTGAAGCTGAAATTACAACACAAATTTCTGGTATGGTTCTGAATTATGTAAAGAAAATATTTAAGTCAATTATACTATTAATGGGGGAGGGCAAAGGGACTTAAAAGGAAGTAAGGTTTTACAGTTCACTCAAACTGGTAAAATAGCACCAATGGTCTTTGATGAGTTATATACAAGCATCTTTAATGAGTTATATATCATACTTTGAGGAATTATTAAAAATCTATACACATAGATATAGTCAAAAATACTATACATACATAAAAATGGAATTCTAAAAAAATTAAGTAGCCTGTAGGTGGGCAAGAAAAAGAAAAGAAATTAAAAAACAGAAAACACAAAGAAAGTTAAAAATTAGACTTTTAGTTTAACATATCAGTAGTCACAACAAATGTAAATGATGTAAATTTACCAATTATATGACAGAGATTGCCAACGTGGATTTAAAATATGTCCTAACTATCTATTGTCTAAAAATAACTCTCTTCTATTATAGCAATGTAAGTAGGTTAAAAATGAAAGTTTGAAAAAGATATACCATGAAAACACTAATTGAAAGAAAACAGCAATTCTTTTTATAAATCAGAAAAATTATGCTTCAGAGTATAGATAATCACTAGGTATAGAGAAGGACATTATATAATGACAAAAGGTCAATCCACAAAGAGGACATAGCAAACCTAAACAATTATGCATCAAGCAACAGAGCTACAACATACTGAAATGAAAAAGTTCCCTTGTCCCACTCACAGAGCCTATAATGGGGTTGTGGCTCACATCTTTCACTTCTTCGGAGCCTTGCTGCTCAAACCCCTAAGGGGAACATGCAGATTGGCACTTTGTGGAGCTCTGTTCCCACCGCAGTGCCTGGGGGTGAAAGTTTACAGCTCCTGAAGCCCCAGTGGGTGTGTGCTACAGAGTGCTCTTTTAGTTTAGCCATCTGTAGGCAGCTTGTGTCAGTCAGCTTAATTAGACACCCTGCCTTATCACAATGACAGATGGCTTTCTGTATCCTGGGGTTTCTTGCCTTGGTGTACCAAAAGAATCAGAGGACACATGAGCTTGGAGAATGAATGCATCATTTCATTGAATTGAAGTAGCTTTCAGCAGATGGGGTACCCAGAAGGGAGATGGAGTGGGAAGGTGGTTTTCTCCTGGAGTCGGATCAGCTCCCTCTAATCACTCCAACCAAACTCCACATCACTCTGTCAGTTGATGGCCTGCCGGTGTCTGTCTGTGAGCTCTTCTTCCATTGTGCTCCTTTGGATGTCCTCTTCACGTCCAGCCACTTGTGTGTTCTTCCACTGAT